CGTTTTCTCTGCTCCACCTCTGCACCTGGATTATTTTAAAGCAAATTCCAAATAACAGTATTCCCTGGACCTTGCGTCTTCATAACAGATTGCTGTTGACTCAAAATATCTATAAAATATTTTAGTATTTCTGTAAACAATTGAGATTCTTCTTCTTATACACAACTACATCATCATCATCACACCGAAGAATGAATTAGCCGTCATTTCTCAATATCATCAAATATCCCATCGGTATTCATATTTTCCTAATTGACTTATTAATACATTTTATTTTATGTTGTAGAATTTTTTAGTAGTTTATTTGAACCAAGATCCAAATAAAGGTCGTTTAAGTCTCCTAAGCCTCTTTTACACTACTTGGTATCATCTCTGTCTTTTTTTATGTTGCAATTTTTTCTGTTGAGAAACCAGACCATTTGTCTGGTAGAATTTCCCACCCATCTGGGTTTGGATGATTGCCTCCATGTGGTGTTGCTAAGCATGTCCCTCTGTCTCCTGAATTTCTTGGGAATTGCTGGGAAGTTCTAGAGGCATTGTTTTGTTTGCTTTGCTTTGCCTGACTACTTCATAGTTGGTGATGTGTTGTGTATTTCCTTCAGGAGGGATTGGTTGGTGGCATCTCTTCCTGCAGCGAGACTGTCATCTGAGTTCAGAAATCTATCGGGATTGCAAATAGTGGTAGTCTAATTCTATTATTCTTTGTTCATTTATTAGCAGGAATTATTGTTCATGAAGAGAAACTCCTTGCGTCTGTAATTTATCTACCCAGTGCTTCAGGTTCTGTAGGAAAAGCAGGATAATATACTAGATTCTGTCTATTTACCAATTTTCACGATACAGTTAGTTCACAGTGTCAAACCAAGTCACTATGTTTTGAAAGCATAACTGTAAATTGATAGATTGTAGCATATCTGTTGTTTCAATCCATGACAGTGATTACCCTTTTTCATGTTCAGATGGTCCCCTGTCTGAGCACTGGGATCCTATTCAGTTTGGCTGCTGAGTCCTTTTAATGCAATACTGGCTGTCTTTGATAGTTTCCTTGCTTTCTAGTATGACACTATGTTCCAGGCTCATCTTGTACATTTCTTGCCTCAGCTCTGGGGTCAGCCTTTTTCCAAGGAGACTCGGTTTCTTTTAGTGAGAAATGATATTTGGAGACCAAAGGCTGGGCCCCAGGGGGACTATTCTCACGGAGTTGAATATTGTTTCTCCTTTCCAGTGGACACAGCCAGAGATAGGAAATCTGTGTCTCTCTAGATATAGATATAGATCGATTGTGTGTATGTATTTTTTAAGGTAAAATACATCATGAGTTTATACTGATGTGCCACAAGGCTTTTACTTAACTTCATTCATTTTACATCAGTATTTTCTTTCTCTCAAACTGAAAATAGCAGTTCTTACTCACACCAACACAATTTACTCATTTACTTTATCCCACACTATACTTGCAATAATTTCTGAACAAAAATGCCAGTGACACTGCAACAGTATGCTTACTGAAAACGTTTAAGGTTTTTTTTTTTTTTTTTTTTTGTTTGTTTAGTTTTGTATTGGTTGTTAGTCCACTGGGCTAGAGATGGACAGTTGTATTACAATGTGTTAGGGTCACTTGGAATAGTTACAGTCTGTGTGTTTATGCCAATAACTGGATATACATTTGAGTTCATATATTTTAATTTGAGACTTTCTAAGGGCTTTTGAAAAGTGGTTCTTGTTCAATAATTATATAAAAATATTTCAATTTTCCTGAAATGAAACCCACAAAACAAGTTGAAGTCATTGAAGTCTGTCTTTTGTGCCTGTCTGCTTTATTTTCTCTTTTCTCTAAGCATAATCATTTTTAGGCATATCCTTCATTTTTATTATAAGCAATCATATTATTTAGGTAGGTGTTTATTTTTTTGCTCCAACAGATTTATTTATTTATTTAGAGACAGGGTCTCACTTTGTCACCCAGGTTGGAGTACAGTGGTACAATTTTGGCTCACTGCAGCCTTGAACTTTTAGGCTCAAGCAATCTTCCTGCCTCAGCCCCCCAAGTAGCTGGGACTACAGGTGAGCACCATCATGCCCGCTGTTTTTTGTTTTTTGGTTTTTTTTTCCAGACCAAGCCTCGCTCTGTCACCCAGGCTGGAGAGCAGTGACACCATCTTGGCTCACTGCAGCCTCCGCCTCTTGGGTTTAAGCAATTCTCATGCCTCACTCAGCCTCCTGAGTAGATGGGATTACAGGTGTGCACCACTACGCCTGCTAATTTTTGGAGTTTTGGTAGAGACAGGGTTTCACCATGTTGGCCAGGCTGGTCTCAAATTCCTGGCCTCAAGTGACCCACCTGCCTCGGCCTCCCAAAGTGCTGGGATTACAGGTGTGAGCCACCACGCCCAGCCTTCCAATAAAAACATTTAGAATAATTCCTTATCATAATACCCTTCATGTCCCCCACACTTTTCTTAGCTGTTGTTTATTCGTTTCCAGCTCTGAGTGATTTTGAAATTCTTAGTACCCCTTTTTCTTCTTTTCTTCTCTGGCCATCATTTGATTTAAAGTAATATCTTTTTACTCCCACTTAACATCTGTATTAGTGAGCTTATTCTCGTTCCTTTCATGTTCTTCCCGCATGTTTTTTTAAAATCATTATGTTGTCTATATTATCAGAGCACGTAGTCATAATATCGTTCTGGCTCTATGTAATATTGTTTCCTTGTAATCATCTTTCGGTAATAGACCTACAGCTGATGATGTGTTGAATGCTTACCCAGTCTTTGTATCAGTGCCTTTCCAGCCAGCCTGGGTGCCTGACTCTTCTCCCTTGCAGATTACTGAGGGTTTCTGCGAACAATATTCCTTGGGTCCTCGCGTGTTCGTAACAGACTGTTGTTGTCTTGAAGATCATTTTGGCTGGATATAAGATCCTTGGCTTAGTTGCCTTTCCTGAGTGTCACGCTGTTGACTTCTAGCATGAAGCCTGGCTCTTGAAAAATTGGATGACACTCTAATTTTCTGTCCCTTATAAGTGACTCAGTCATTTTACCTGAGTGTCCAAAGAATTTTTTGTTTTGTTTTGTTTTCTTTCCTAGGTCAGTTTTTCCAGGGGCATGGAGTATTCTGTCAATATATAGTTTCAAATCTTTTTCTACTGCTAGAAATTGTGCTTGAGTCACGATTTTAAGCATTTGCTGTTTTTATTGCTTTGGTTTTCTTCTTCAGAGCCTCTTATTATTATGTTATGTTGGATTTTCTTTGCTCGTGTTCCTTTTCTGAGTCTTTCTGTTGAATTCTATTTCTTTTTGATGTTTAACACTTTCTCCTTTCTATTTTTTAGCACTCTTCAAGGATTATCTGTTGTGTGCATTCCCTCTTGTGTTCCTTCTTATTTGGTCTTCATCTCGAAAATGGATTTTTTTTTCTTTTACTTCAAATTCTTTCCCATGTTCTTTTGCCTCTCTCTATCCAACTATTTCTTTTCTCCAAACACTTCATTTCTGAATGTTTTTATTGGGATTAGTGTTCCTTTATCTCTTCTTACTTCCTCATTTTCTTTTAGCTCTTTGGAAATATTAACGTTCTCATCTGTTTTGGGGGCATGTTCTGGGTAAGAATGCTATTCTGATTTTTTTTGTTACAATAACTGTGCACTGCATTTGACCACAATCCTATTTTGTTACTCATTTTTAAGTGGAATGAGTTTTCCTGTATTTTTAGGGATAAGGGATGGGCCAGAAAATATTTTCTAGTGTCTAGACCGTAGAACTCCCTCTTCTGTGGTTTCCATGGAATGATAAAATAAGACCTATATTTTCTTAGCTTCATCTTCTCTGCTTCCCTTCACTTGAATCTGCCCCCTCCCTTCACTTTGACTAAATTATTACTGCCATGTTCAATTTAGATTCTGCTCTCAAAAGTTTCTTCTCAGGGTGATTCAGTCATGGAAGGAAGCTTAGATTTGTTGGTCTCAAGAGTGCCCTGGCTCCATAACACCTAAGCACCTTCAGACCTTCCCAGGGTTCCTTGCCCTTGTCCTGTGAATTGGATTCTGCAGGACCCCTTGCCAGTGATGCTGCTGTGCTAAAAATAGCTCATCAACCTGCTGACCGTGCCATAAGGGCCTTTGGAAGCTTGGGAGCCCTTCATCCCAAAACCTTCAGATGTCTACTGCCTCTCCTCCAACTTTCTCTTGCACAGGTACTGCTTCCGCCTGACTCTGTCGCTATAAATATTTCAGCCACACCCGTTTCTGTCTTCAGGTTTATGGACTACACAGTAACCTCATTTTGTCTTGATGTGGTCCATGGGTTTTGGCTCTGTAATTTCAGTTTGTCTGTTTTTGTTGTTGTTATCATTGCTATTGTTATTGGCAGGGAGGAGGAGGGCAGGGATTCTGAAAATTTTTTTTTAACTGCTCTACCTTTGACACTGGTACCATCATCTTTCCTGAATTCCCATTTTATTTTTTTTTATGTTTTTTTTTTTTGAGACAGGATCTCACTCTGTTTCCCAGGCTAGAGTGCAGTGGTGCTATTTTGGCTCACTGCAACTTCTGGCTCCTGGGTTCAAGCAATCATCCCACCTTAGCCTCCCAAGTAGGTGGGACTAAAGGTGTGTGCCACCACACCTGGCTAATTTTTTGTATTTTTGGTAGAGATGGGGTTTCGCCATGTTGCCCAGGCTGGTCTTGAACTCCTGGGTTCAAGTGATCCACCCATTTAGACCTCCCAAAGTGCTGGGATTACAGACAGGCATGAGCCACTGCACCTGGCCCCACTTTATTTTATTTATTTATTTTTTGAGACGAAGCCTTGCCCTTGTCCCCCAGGCTGGAGTGCGATGGCACGATCTCAGCTCACTGCAACCTCTGTCTCCTGGGTTCAAGTGATTCTCCTGCCTCAACCTCCCGAGTAGCTTGGATTACAGGTGCCTGCCACCACACCCAGCTAATTTTTGTATTTTTGGTAAAGATGGGATTTCACCATGTTGCCCAGGCTGGTCTCAAACTTCTGACCTCAGATGATCTGCCCGCTTCAGCCTCCCAAAGTGCTGGGATTATAGGCATGAGCCAACACACCCGACCCCACTTTAGTTTTTTAATAGTGCTTGAGAAGATGTTTCTGCTAAATACTGTGCCTCTGGATTAAACCTCAAATACTTCGAAATGTGAAAAGTTTGGTTTCAGTCACAGATGTTTAGTTAAATACTTTTTAGGGACAAGAAAACTACAAAGTGCCTTGAAAAACAAAACACGCTCAATTTGTTATTTGTTTAACATATGTAGAAAATAAAATTAATACATATATCTTTTCCAAATTAACACAGTATGAAACCAACCACTACTCATTCATCAAAAGACACAATGTAGATGAAGTTTAGGCTTGGTTAGGACCCGGACACTGAATAAATGGTAGCTCTGAGGTTGAAAAAGCTCCCCGAGTCACTCTGGTACACATTCTGATGGGCAAGTCAGCATCCCCACCCCACCCCAGCCCTTCTTCCCCGCTGAAAAGAAGTCTCTAGCTCAGAGAATTGACTTGTTATAACCTTACAGATGTAGTTGCCAAATTGCCATTGACATCACATTTTTCTTTTTGGCTTTCACTAGCTAAATAGTAATATTATAAAGGAACTCTCTGCTTTTTCTAGTTTGTCCTTTTTAAATTCTTGGAGGCCCTTCGTACCATGGAACGCAGGATGGGCAAATGTGCTTCTTATAGTGTATGTTAGATTTAGCACCTTTTGGCAAAGGGTCTTGTTTCCTGTGCAGTTTAAATTTAGATCCACTGAGAATCTGAGAAATTCAGTAATGAAAGGGTAACTTTGGAGTTTCCTCTTTTGGAAGCTTTCCTTATTAAATTCTATTAATGACTCTGTTAGACTTGATTCCCATCTTACACAAGAGATTCCAGAATAGCAACTTGAATTGCTTCTCAGTCCCTCTTACAAAGTCACTCCTTCATTCGGCATTGATTGAGTGCCTCCCGTGTACCAGCTGACAGGGCTTATGTACAGAACCACTACCTTCTTTTTCATTCTATTATTTTAAGAGTTTCTTGATAGTCCATCTACCTAAGAAGTGTTGCTATTAAATTTCAGCCTATCTCATAAATATTATTCTGAGATCCTCCTTGCTGGATTTATAAGTATAAATCATTCTTGGTTAAAATATACAATATAAACAGTAAGTGGACCAGTCATCTGATTATATGTGCTCTGAGTCTACAGAAAGAAAATATCTTGGCATGTTTCAGGAGACTTGTAAAGATGAATTGTAGGACTTCTCATTTCTAATTAAAACTAATTAAAATTTACTGTCTACAAGGGAGATGGATTGAACGTCACCTTTACCTTTCTCTTGACAACAATGAACTCTGACTCAAAGCTGGCACTAAATGTTTTATTTCAGTGTCTGTGTCCTATTCTGTGTTGTAATATTTTGGATAAAAAATGGAAAAAAATAAACAAGAAATTTTTATTTCTGCTAAAAAGTCAACAGAGTCCATTGTTATCTTCCTTTGCTTCTCAGATGGCAGAAATTGGGTGTCAGGTCCTAGTAGACAGGGGTTCTCAACCCCTGGGCCATGGACTATTGTGGGTCTGTGGCCTATTAGGAACTGGGTGGCACACCAGGAGGTGAGTGGCAGGTGAGCCAGCATTAGCCAGCTCAGCCAGCCTAAGCTCCACCTCCTGTCAGATCAGTGGCAGCATTAGATTCTTTCTCATAGGAACATGAACCATATTGTGAACTGCATATGTGAGGGATCTAGGTTATACCCTCCTTATGAGAATATAATGCCTCATCCCCCTACCCATAGCCTCATGGAGCAGTGCCAAAAAGGTTGGGGACTACTGCTATAAGAAGTCCCGACCAGAAGTGTCACATCTTTCTATAGCATGGTGCTGCTTCTTGAACACCTGTAGTAGCCAAGGCCAGAATTAGCGTGGCACCCTCTTCCCCAGACAAGGTCCATGGACAGTGCATTTCAAAATATAGGAAGCTCTCCTTACACTCTCTGCTACTAGCTTCCATGGTTATCAAGTAATTATACTTTATGCTGAGCCAACTTATGCATTTAGGAAGAGATGAAGAGAAATTATATCCTCAAATGGGCTGGAACAAAAGGGAATACCAATAATTTGTAAGTTAATCAAATTATAATTAAAGCAGGAAGAGACACAGGGAGCTTTGATTATCTATGTTTTCCGTTAGAAAATAATACAACAAAAGTATCCAGGGAGTCTTATCAGTTCTGTAGGTATGTGGCAGAACAGTAAGGTTATAAGTTGTCCTTTTAATTCGCAGCTTCCTCTGGCCTCTGCTTCCCATGGCCCTGCCTTCTGACTTGCTGTTTGCTCAGCTCCTTAGTGCATGGGAAGAGCAGAAACATCAGGTGAAGGGTGCTGAGATCTGCTGTGCACCTGTGCCGCACAGCCCTTCCCATATATACATGTGTAGCTTTTGGGTTTGCCAGTTGATGGAACTTATCTGCACCAAATAGCCTTCCACGGGGGTGGTGCCGATTCACACTCCCACCCACAGCCGGCACAGCCTAATCACAAGTGGAACAATCAGAGCGGAAAGTAGCAGCCTCTGGTTTCCAAATGTGAGAGAGCCTCAGGGCTCAGTCCTCAAACCTGGTCTGTTCTTTGTTGATGTCTTCAAACCACCTCAAAGCTGACACCTTCTCCAGCCTGGGCCTTTTCTTTGAACCTCAGGTTTGCATATCCCACTGTCTCTTAACTGCCTCCAGTGGGATGAACTCTTGATATTCTACCGCAACCTGCTCCTCCCACTGTCTTCCCATCTCCTTCCAGTTGCTCAGGCCACAGTCGTTGGTGTTGTCCTTGATGGCTTTTTTTCTCCTACGCAATCCCTCTGGTCCACAGTGCCACCATGTCTTGGCTGGAGTTCCTCAGTAACCTCCTGAGTAGTCTCTCTGCTTCTTCTCAGAATATCTCCTCCATGCAACAGCCAGCACGAACTGGTGAAAATGTAGTCCAGACCCTGTAGCTCCTCTGATCAAAACCCTCCAGCGCCTCACAGCCCACTCAGAGTAAGGACCTCAGACTTTATCATGGTTCAAAGAACTTGTCACCCCCACCCTCTGACTTCATTTCCTACTCCCCACCCCCTTTACTCAGTGCCAGGAACCCCGCCTGGATGCTGTTCCTCCAACATGCCACACAGGAGCCCACCCCAGGACCTTCTGTTCTTTCTGCCAGGAAGGCTCTTCCCCCAATCGCCACGTTGCTTTCTATTTCCCTTTCTTCAGGCTTTTTTCCAAAAGTTACTGTCTCTATGAGGCCTTTTTTGACGACAAGCTTGAAAAACTTGTCACCAGACCACTACCCTAGCCCCTTTTCTGCTTAATTTTTCTGCTTAGCATCTATCACCATTTAATGGAAAATACTTCATTGTAAATCTTTTATCCCCATGAGGATAAACAGTTATTTGTTGTTGGGAGTGGTTCTAAATATTGATTTAATTGGTTATGAGGGTGTTAATAATAATATAAGACTAGCATTTATTCATCAACTACTATGCGTCAGCCACTGGGCTAAGTGACTTACAGGTTAAGAACCTCACAGAAGGCCAGGCACTGTGGTTCACGCCTGTAATCCCAGCACTTTGGAAGGTTGAGGTGGGCAGATCACCTGAGGTCAGGAGTTTGAGTCCAGCCTGGCCAACATGATGAAACCCCATCTCTACTAAAAATACAAAAATTAGCCAGGCGTGGTGGCAGGGCCCTATAGTCCTAGCTACTCGGAAGACTAAGGCAGGAGAATAACTGGAACGCGGGAGGTGGAGATTGCAGAGAGCCAAGATCGCAACACTGCACTCCAGCCTGGGTGACAGAGCAAGACCCCCGTCTCAAAAAAAAAAAAAAAAAAAAACCCTCACAGCAACCTAGTAGTTGAGCACTGTTACTCTTGTTTTATAGGTGAGAAAACTGTGCCCTAGAGAAATTAAGTAACTTGATTCAGGTTTCATGGTTAGGTGGAACCTGGGCCCTAACAGTCCACTTCCAGAGCCTGTACCTTCAACTACAGCTCTACTGCCTCTGCTAGGAGATGGCCCAAGGACATTCCTTAGCTGACTTCAGCTTGCTCTTTGCCCCTGCAGTCCACCCGTGTCTCCTGCTTGGTCATCAGTGATTTCCATGCCATCCCATGTCATTGGACCAGTTGTGTGTTTTTAATAGGAGTTCTCATCTCGGTTTCTCTACAGCTTTGCCAATTCTGCTCTCCCCCTCCTGTCAAAATACCCTCCTCCCTTGGCTTCCTGAACGCCACTCTCTTTGGATGCCATCATCCCTTTCTGGCACCTCCTTCCTAAGTCTTCATGTGTTCCCTTTCTACCTGCTTTCTACGCCTCTAAGTGTTGGAGTTCCTCATGGCTTAGTCTCTAGTTCCCTTTCTACCTGCTTTCTACACCTCTAAGTGTTGGAGTTCCTCATGGCTTAGTCTCTAGACCACTTTGCTTCTCCACCTAAGTTTTTCTGCTAGATGATCTCATCCAAACTCACAGTGCTTTAATGGACCCATGACTCCTGCATCCATGTCTCCAGGCCAGACCTCTCATCATCTTCGGGCCCGTGTCTCCAGCTACCTACACTGCAGCTCCTTTGGGGTATCACAGTATCACCTGAACTCAGTATGTTCAAAGCCAAAGTTATAACCATCACCATCCCACCAAACTTCATACCCAAGAATTTCCCATCTCAGCCATTGGCGTCATCTGGTTACCCAAGACAGATGCCTAAAAGTCATTTCTTGAAGCATTTCTCTCCCTCTTCCTCTGTATCTAATGTGTCACCAAGTCCTACTGATGCAATCTCCTCAGTATCTTTCGAATGCACTCCATCTCTCCAGGCCCACTGTCACCATTCTGGTCCTAAAACCCACCTTCTCTCTAGGAGCCACAGCTTCCCTGGCCTTCTTCGCCTCTTCCAACTATTCCCATCACCCCGTTCTTTTCTTTGACAGCATTTTTTACATATAAAAATAGATATTTATGTGATTATGTCATGAATGTCTTTTCTCCCTAAGAAGCACTACGAGAACAAGGAGCTTCCTATTTCTCCCCGTTCAGTCCTCAGCTCCTAGCAGCACAGTGCCTGGCGTATAGTAGATTCTCCATCAGTATTTGATTTGTTGAATGAAAAACTTAGATGTATTAAATGACAAACTGAGATCAAGGGAGAATGAAGAATCAATCAGAAGCAGATAGAAAATGATGCTGTGTGGTATGGCAACATCATGAATGGACTGTTACTGATAATACACACTGAGTCATCAAAGAAACATTAACATGTATTCTCTATTTTTAAAGGAAGGTACATAAATATAGAACTAAATAAACAGATCTCAGTAAGTAAAGTTTCAGTAAGCAAAGTTTTAGAAGGCAAAGAGAAATTAAGTTCACATCATTTCCCAATAACACAAATGAATGTTTTCCATCCAATTCTGAGGACAAAGACAGCACCTCCTCACCCATCCATGCCAATGGAGGCTGAGGTAGCACAGATAATTGAAATTACAGTGAAGAAGGAAAGGGGCTGATTGATTTGCCTGCCATCTCCTTTCTTTAATAGTGGAGGAATTGCCAAAAAAAAAGGCTAAAAATGGGCAACAGGAAAAGGGAGAAACAGTAAGAATCTTGGATAATCTTCCACTAGATAATTAAGACTTAACTGGGTCTGTTTTGATGTGTGCACGTCTCTGTACATGGAAAAGGATGAACCCACAAATATTATAAATGCCAATTTCCAAAGGCTTTTGGAAAATATAACCCATAGCATATGGTATCAAATTAATTTGGGGTTTTCCTTGTCTCAGTCTGATTTGGGCACATTGAATTATGAGATAATAGTTTGGCATCCATGTTTGCTGAGTGCTTGTTTTAAGTTTCTCAATTTCACAAAAATTCTCTGAGGTTAGAGGATGCATGGTGGCCCTCGTTTGGCAGATGAGGAGGTAGCGGCACAGAGCCGATCAGTGGCTCACCTGGGCTCTGGCAGGAACTCCTGGGCAGAGCTGCCGAGACCCAGGTCTACAGACTGTCACTCTGGCTTCACTATTTCTGCCCTTCCTTTGAGCACTTTTCTAACTTTTGTTCTGTTTCTTGCCACTTAATGCACCTGTTTCATCATGCTGCCTGTCACAGTTAGAGGAAGGAATTTAACACAGAATGGATCATGTTTGACAGTAAGGAGCTGCACAGCTGAATTCCATCAAGACAATGTGCTTATAACCCCAATGGTATTAAAACTTTCAAATGATGCTTTATCACAACTTCCCCTGGGCTGCATGTGACAAAGGGGTGCTTAACCAGGAGGGACATCTCTCTTTGCTTGTAGGGACAGGTTGCTGTTTTTTGCCCACCTCTAAAATCTCCTAAGAGCACTCAATTCTGCTTTTCCTCCTTAAAGCCAGCAACTATACAATTTAATTTAATGTTGAACAGCTGTTTCTCCTGCAGTCCAGGTGAAATTTGAGGTATCAGCTAATTGTGCTAAAGTTCCCAATAAAGAAGTATTCAGAAGGTGTGGATCACCAATTACTTCTTGGCCGAGCTGTGAACTAATAACTGGTAGCAGTAGATACTGTACTCAGATGCCACATGAAATGCAAAAGATTCTACACTTTATTCCATAAAACACGGCGATAGGACATTGTCTACTACTTAAGTAACTAATATTTAAATGTTTATAGATTTTTAAATGATTTCTTCAACCTTCCTTTCTCACCCTGTTTCTAGATCTGATGCACAAAGGAAAATAATGATACAAAACCCATTCATTGTGTTGTTGCGGTAGATCGAGTTACATGATGCACAGCACAAGACCTTCTTTGCGCTTCTTTCAAGCAGGATTATTGCTGTATATTCACTCTGAACTGAGAGGTGAGGATTGAACTGTGTAGTGCCTCAGAAAATATCAAGAGTTTTAAAACATTAGTTTTGAGAGATTGAAATACATAGAAACTCGGAATGTTTGAATGTCAGCCCAGACATTGGCAGGCTTCCATTCAGATTTCGTTGTGAGTAAAATGTGTACTCAGTGACTGGGTTCAAGCCCTTCATAGTTTATAAGCAAATGTCTCTGCTTTTTCTAGATCATTGCAAAAAAAAAAAAAAAAGAAAAAAGAAAAAGAAAAGAAAAGAAAAAAAGAAATAGGTTAAGCAAATTTTGTGGTGGTGCTTATGTGTGCACAGACATGCATGAGGCCTCCGCATCTTCCAAACTTGGAAAGCATATTTTAACAGCACAAATATATCTACATGTTTGATCTACATCAGAGCCTCTTTTTTTCCCTCTTCCTTGCATGCTTTTTAATTATATAGTTTAAATGTTTTAACTATTAAATCTGTTTGGTCTTCAAGCTGTAAACATCACACGCAGCTAATAAGCTTTAGGAAAGAAAAGGAAATTGACATTTAGTATAGAGGTTCTACAAAACCAATGAAAAACTATGCAAATGAGCTATGGAACAGACAGATTTGCATATCCTCCTTGATTTCATGATGATATTCTCAGCATGAGCCTGGCAGCCTTGCCTTTTTACCTCTTGGGATGATGCATGTACTGGTGGTAGAGGCCTGCAGGGTCAATTTAACAAGTGTAACATTGTGATTTTCCATGCGGTGTCTCAGAACCACTGAGCAAAACGCAGCAATAACCAGTGACAGAGGAAATCGATTTTTGAAGTAAATACTTTTGGAGGAGGGGAAGAAGGTACATTCCCTTCATATTTAGTGTTGCCAAAGTTAGGTTGAACAAGTTTTTATATTAGTGCCATTTGGCATTTCAAAAGAAATAGATTATCCACCAGTTCCACCACTCTCTGGATCCCCTCACATGTTTACCACCAAAACTCCTGCGCAGAGACTGGTCCTCTTTTGCAAACTGCTTTTGGCTCCCCCGCGATCTCTCATCAGAAAAGCAGGCTAAGGAATCTGCTTTTGCCCCCATCCTGTTAGAATGACAAATAGTAGCCTAATGGCCAAGTTGTATACTTATTTAATCCATCGTCTGTATTGATAGTTTATGATGTCCTGGGTATGAATACGCGAAAGCATAGTTGCATAGTGGCGAAGAAGGATTTTGATATGGTCGAGATCTGGATTTGAACTCAACCCTGACAGTTCTCCCTGCCTTAGTTTCTTGCCCATAAATGGGGGTGATGAGGTAGTGGTGAGAATTAAATGAGAGACTATGCAAATGGTTATCACATTCCCTGGAAAATAGTTAAATACCTAATAGATAGCATAACTATTTTGAAATGCTTTCAAAATTATACTCCGGTTTTACTTCTGCAAAATCAAGGTAGCTTTCTTCAGAAAAAAAAGAAATGAACTTCACCCCTAAAATGTACTTGGAGAATTTTAGAGGGTCTTTTCCAAGTTGTTATAAAGCACTTCTGAAGTAAATTTGCCCATTTCTGCCCACACCAATCTTATAACATTCCAGGAATAAAATCTGCACTCGAGTTTAAAAATAAAACGGGTGGAACAAACTGAATTAGAAGTCCTTGGCAGACATCCCCCCCAAGCAGAATGTTCTCTCAATTGGTGGTATCGCAATAAAAGAGATGTATATTTTTTAGTCTGCCCTTCCTCCCTGATAACTTCAGCCAGTTGTATTTCTCTATTCTAAAAACCTGGTATGCTTGGATTTAATCTCACCACTCCTTCTATCTACGCTCCTGCTCCTACCCCCACACCCACTTCCCCCAAAAAACCCCCACATCCGCACAGACCCTCCTTCCCAAGAAAACATGGAGGCGGGCTGCTCTCTGATACCGTATATGTGCATTCCGGACTGTGCTGAGGAAGGTCATAGAAACATGAGAAGGCTCTGCTGTTTTCAGTTGTAAAGACTGCCAAGAAAGAACAACAAAAAAATCTCAAATGCATTCACATTTCTCCCGCCTCTTTTTTCTTCTGTAAATATTCAACCCTTTTTAGAGAGGCTTTTGATAATGTGTTATCCCAGCAAACACCACGAACCTTGGATGTACGCAGTACTCCCTAATCCCATAGGAATGACTCAGTCAAGAGAGTTAGATAAAATATGGTTGGCAAGATTGGGTGGAGAATCTTGTTACTACACACACACGCGCACACACACACACACACACACACCAGCAGCACCAGCCACTGCACCCCTATCATCGCCATAGAAATTATGTAAAAACTAGACATTCTCCTCTCCCTTACACAGTCAGTTGCATCTTTCCCAAAAATGGAAGGGGAAAAAGCTTTCTTTGGCTGAGCCATATGCAAAAAATTATGGAACATCTGTGTAAGTAACAACATACAACAAGACAAATTATTGGTGGTAAAAGGCAAAGCCCTTGTTTCAAAAACATGTCTGGAAATAGTGTGTATACAGAACCTTCCTTTGTGCTAATTACTCATAATAGCTGTCAGCTTTGTGTACCACAGGCTGGGCTGTTAATAACTAGTGGTCGGAGAACGGTGTTCTTTTTCTTTCCCTTTCTTTTTTTTCCTAGCCTTTCTTCCCTCTTTCCTGCCTTCTTTTCATTGTTGTTACACAAATCATATAGCCTTATTCTAATAGTTGCTGGAAGACCAAATCAGAGATGTGGGGGATTCGGGGACTCGCGACATCTTGTAGTATACTAGTGGACAAATGCCACTGTGTCACCCCTGAAGTGGCCGTTTTCCTCCAACGCTTGTCTGAGGAGTGCAGGGACCTTTGAGGTCCAAGCCATGTATCAGTAAACTTCAGAATTTTGTTCCTAACATTTAATTCTATTCTCAGTCTCAACACCCGCCACAAAAATAATGTCACTCCAGGCAAATTTAGTCGCTTACGGATTCTGAGTCTCATTGTGATTTTGCCTGAGTGGCAAGGTTTTCAGGCACGTGTACTTAAAAATGTGATGTGGTAGAATGTGCCTCCAGCTAGGAATCCACAGACTTGGGTTTGAGCTCCACGTCCCACAGTCACCATGTGATCTTCAGAAAAGAATCACTGAACTGCCTGTGTCTCCATGCCCCCGTTTGTCAAGAGAGGGGCGGTAATACCTGCCTGCGGTGTTTATGTGGATCGAAGGGGCTAAAACTCATAGAAACACAGAGTGCTTCTATGATAAGAGAAAACTCCAGCCAGGCTCAGTGGCTCACGCCTGTAATCTCAGCATTTTGGGAGGCCAAGACGCGTGGATCACCTGAGGCCAGGAGTTTGAGACCAGCCCGGCCAACGTGACAAAACCCCGTCTCTACTAAAAATACAAAAATTAGCCAGGCGTGGTGGTGGGCACCTGTAATCCCAGCTACTTGGGAGGCTGAGGCAGGAGAATCACTTGAACCTGGGAGGTGGAGGTTGCAGTCAGCCGAGATCACACCACTGCACTCCAGCCTGGGGGACAGAGCAAGACTCTTTCTCAAAAAAAAAAAAAAAAATACTCTGATGCTATTGCTACTGTTTTGTTTTGTTTTGTTTTGTTTTGTTTTGTTTTAATGCTAAAAGGGCTCCAAACATCCTGTTATCACCCATTGTCAAATTTCTGCATATATTTTGCAGTGCCAGTGAGAAACTTGGGGTCTCTACAGTCAGTAAGGAAAAAGGAGTTTGAAAGAACTAAGAGATCTCTATGGGGAAGAAATAGTAGGGCAGAGAGTTTAAATTTAGGGTTTGTAGGAAATGATGCACCAGGACCACCGCATAGCCCTCATGTCTCCTCTCTTCAGTGTCCTCTCTGCCTCCATCACCTAGTGAGGAGGAAACAGGAGCAGGAACAGGTCGCCAGGGTGTCCAGCAGGTGACCTCCCCAGCTCCCTATCCCCGCAGCCCCCACTGCTCCACTGGCAGCCTGTGTCCCAACCAAACCTTACTCCACATTGTAATTCTAACGTTCTCTGCACATTCATCGCCATGTTTCCCTCCATCTGACTCAGCCCGTCAAAATCCTGCCTCTACCTCAAGGCCCAGCTCCCATCCCCTCTTCCGCAAAGCCTTCTAACCGCAGACCCATTAACCTCACCCCACTTGGGGCTTCCAAGTCCCTTTATTATTTATGGTTATGAGAAAGTGTCACAGCCGGCCTGGTGTTGTGTAGTGAGTTGTGTGAATGTGTTAGCAGAGTGGGTTGGCCCAGCATGTGATGGTTGGCTGTTAGCTGGAGTGAACCAGCCTGGGTTCAAATCTCCCTCTGGCATCAGCTTGTGCTGTAATTGGGGTAAGCACTGAACCTCCCACTGTGTCCTTTCCTCATTTGCAAACTTGGCTTAATAATGATAGCTACCTCAAAAAGTTGCTGTGATAATTAAATGAATGTCAAGCTCTTAGAACAGTGCAAGCACTGAAGAAATATTATGTTGGTGCAAAAGTAATTGTGATTTTGCCATTACTTTCAATGGCAAAAACCACAGTTACTTTTGCACCAACCCAGTATTTGCTATTAAGAGTCCTCGTCGGCCAGGCATGGTGGCTCATGTCTGTAATCCCAACACTTTGGGAGGCTGAGGCAGGTGGATCACCTGAGGTCAGGAGTTTGAGACCAGTCTGGCCAACATAGTGAAACCCCATCTCAACTAAAAATATAAAAATGTCCTGGGCATGGTGGTGCTTGGCTGTAATCCCTGCTACTACAGAGGCTGAGGCAGGAGAATCACTTGAACCCGGCCGGGAGCCAGAGGTTGCAGTGAGCTGAGATCGCGCCATTGCACTCCAGCCTGGGTGACAAGAGCGAAACTCCATCTCAAAAAAAAAAAAAAAAAAAGGGCCTGGTCTTCCAGAGACAAGAGGCCACGTCTTGTCCATGTTTTTATGCCTTGCAACCATATTTTACGTATAGAAAAGACCCAGTCCGTGAACATTAAAGTCAGTATCAGGTACATTTATCAACATAAAATCTGTTCCTTTGAATCAGCTC